GTCAAGAAGTTTCTAGTGTATTCTACCCTTAAGTACACAAATTCCTATCTTCTACATCACTTTTAGGGACAGCTATATAGAGTTATATCAAAATAATCACAAAGCGTGATAGCTTTAATAATATTGGGATGCTCGTTATTTGGAAGTTGCGTGCTATTTTGTTTTTACTCATTAATTGATTCATTAATTAAACAAACATACATTGAATGCTAGTTCTGTGCCAGAAGCTAAAAATACAAAGATAAAATATGATGCCTAAAACTATAGTGAGCAAACCAAAATATTTTTAAGCACTCAACTGAAAGTCAATTAACTTAGGTTTGACCTTTCCAGAGCATAGTTAAGAAGTACAAAAAGAGCTAAAAATAAAAAGATACTCTGAAGACTTTTGTTACTTATAATGGTAGACAAGTTAATTTAGTCTAATTTTCCTCTGACTGTTGATAGTCACAATTGAAAAGGCTAGAAAGTAGTTTCCAATATTTTTAAAAATATAAAATAAAAGAAGGGGAGATAATAAAAAATTTCTAAATAGAGATATTGCAGAGAACAAAACAACAAGCCATTTTTCCCTGGAACTACTTTCAGAAGCAGAATAGGAATTTCAGAATTGAGTGAGGGCTGGCACTGTGGTGTAGTGGGTAACGCTGCCTCCTGCAGTGCCGGCATCCCACGTGGGCATTGGCTGGAGTCTGGCTGCTCCACTTCTGATCCAGCTCTCTGCTATGGCCTGGGAAAGCAGTAGAAGATGGCATAGGTCCTTGGGCCCCTGCACCCGCATGGGAAGCTCCTGGCTCCTGGTTTTGGATCAGTGCGGCTCCAGCTGTTGCGGCCATCTAGGGAGTGAACCAGCCAATGGAAGACCTCTCTCTCTCTCTCTCTCTTTCTCTCTCTCCCTCCCGCCCTCCCTCCCTCTGCCTCTGCCTCTCTGTAATTCTGCCTTTCAAATAAATAAGTAAATCTTTTAAAAAAGAGATAATTGAGTGGAGATTCAGTTGCCCCATGAACTTAGGCAGAAAAAATTCAAAGTCCAGGGTCTGCAAAACTTCAGTGCCTGATTTGAATTGATGTAAGAACAAGCCAGAAGCAAATTAAGCCTCACAAAAATTCCAGGCATACAAAACAAACCTTGAATTTGTTCATCTGCTAACGTCCTTAAGGACATAACGAAAGCAAACTAAAATCACCTTTGGAGAAATATATAATTATCTTAATCTTCAAATACATTCTCTAAAATGTATTCAATACTCAGAGTCCATTGACAAATGACCAGACATGCAAGGAAGCAGGACCTCATAAGCTAGAAATTTAAGAAAAAACAGAAATAGCCTCTTTCCTCCTTCCCCTTCTCCCTGGATTCTTGCCTGGAGGGGGCTGGCTGTAGCCCTGTGCCTCCAGGACATGTGGCCTTCTGGCCACCCGCCCTAGGCTCTTGGTCCTAGATGCTCTTGCATGTGGCTGGTTCCTGGTACTCGGTCCTACGGAGAGACTGTAAAGCTGTATAGCTCTGCATGTACTCCTATGGACTTACTTCTAAGGGTACAGTTTAAAACTTGCTATGGGATCGCAAATCCCCTTGGGCTAGATGATAATGGTAACGTCTTAAATTTTAAAGTGATCCTATAGGTGAGATTAAATGTTAAAGTGATCATGTCAATAGAATTAAGTGTTTACTACTACTAATAATAGAGTTAAAGAGGAGTAAATGCTCCAACATGGGAAGGAGTCTGTACAGCAGACTCATAGAGTGGTGATTTCCTTAAGGAGCACTCAGTGACCTCAGAATCGGCCCTAAAGATGTTCTGTTCTGGATAAAAAGTCCCACAAGAGCATTTCAGGCATGGAAAGCCAGGACACTTGTGGAAAAAGTGTCCCTGCATGGAAAACTTCCCTGGGTGAGACCCCAGTGGAAAGGAGTGGTCATCAAAGAAGGATGTACTTCTCTCCGGAGGGAGGAGAGAACTTCCACTTTGTGTATGGCCTTGTCTGAATGCTGATGGAGTTTGTGGAACTCAAAAGGCTTCCATAGCTCAGGCAGCTCTTGTCAAGAGCCTCTGGTGATCACTGACGTCACATATAAGAGTGTTAATTGTTAAATTAACAACAGGAGTCACTGTGTACTAACTTCCCATGTACGACCTCTGTTCTCCAAAGAGCTACAGTATTAACATTAATAATAAAACTTGATCCCAAAGATTTACATTGCTCTATTGTGTGATATTATGCATCATAAGTTCTAGTTATGTTTAAATGTCAAGCTCCGTTGCCTGTATTCTTAGGCGTTTATTTAAAGTTTATTAAGTGCCTCAAACATAAAATCTTGGATATATGTCTCTCTGTGAAATTCCTATCTTGTATGTTTTAACATAGGGTCAGATTTTTAAAGGTAGCCGAGGAGATTTCTGGGAAAGACAAAATTCTGTGGAATTTGGATTCCAAGCTTTTGTATATAGCTTTAAAAATGCCCTGATGAAGACTCCATACTGAAAATGGTAGCTGCAAAAGTTGTTCCAGAAAACTAAGTACGTTCTAACAAAAATCTCCAGTATTGGGAATTGCTGATGTCAGGATTCTATGGAACTTGGACTCCAAGATTTGGATTCCAAGCTTTTATATATAGCTTTAAAGAGGCCCTGATGCAGACTCTGTACTAAAAAGTGTAGCTACAAAAGTTGTTATGGATTCCAGGATTTGGATTCTAAGCCTTGTATTTGCTTAAAAAGCCCCTGACACAGACACACTGTGCTGGACAGGGGAGCCACAGAATGTGTTCCAAGGAATCAAGGAGTTTTTGACAAAAAACTCCAACATTAGAAATTCCTGAGCAAGCCATTCAAAAGATCCTCTTCATATCAGTGTAAATTAAAGGGACCTTACCAGGTGCTATTGAGCACGACTACCTCCGTGAAATTAGGATTAAACGTCTACCTCTTAAGTCTTCACAGGTGAATGCTAAAGACATGCCTGACTATTCCTATAAGCCAATCAGAAACCTTTTGTACCTCTTCAAAGCAAAAAGGATAAGTAAAACTTTTGCCTTTGTCTCTTTAAGGCAAACATACTGTACCTGCCTTTCTTGATTATCTCTGGGAACTGTTATTGATAATAAAGCTACCTAGGGGGGGGAAGCCATTGTAACCCATGAGTCGTACTTTGGAAATTTATATTCATTAAATAAAAGATTAAAAAAAAAAAAAAACAAAAAAAAAAAATAAAGCTACCTAGTGGGTTCTTCTATTGTGCTCAAGTAAATGGGTTTATAATCTACATAAGGGTAGCCTATCACTACCCACTATCTGGAAATCTGTAAGATACTTTGTTTTCATCTAAAAGGGCACCCCACTTATAATTGGTTTTGTTCCAGTTTTATGTTTCAGAACTCGACTTCTGGGAGTAACTGACCATGCAGGGGTCACAGATGTTGGCAATGAGACTGCCCCAGCTCACAAAGCAAATTTGCTAGATAGGATAGGCAGAGACCTCCAGACCCTGGACAGGCAGGGCCTGCACTACGCCCCTCATAAGCAGGAAGCAGTTACAGAAGAGATGATTCGACGTCCATCAACTCCCCTTAGGATTAAGGGATGGAGTTTCGAGGGGGGAATGAAGTAGGCAGGCATACAGGTTAAGACTGATTAGGTTTGTGAGCTGGAAGACCACACCTCTGCCATGCCTTCACCATGCTCCTCTGTGACCTCATGCCCCTACCTAGCCACACCTGAGAGCCCACCAGCCAATCAGGTTAATTAACCACTCCCCTTTCAGAGTGAATTAAAAGCCTGGAACAAGGTGTGTCCAGACCTTTCTTCCATTTCCCTCACCCTGGCTTCTAGCCAGGAGGGGGCTGGCTGCAGCCTTGTACCTCCAGGGAGCATGGCCTTCGGGCCAACCTGCCCAAGGCTTCCTGGTCTAGATGCTCCTCCACGTGGCTGGTTCCTGGTACTTGGTATGAACCCAGATTTACCTCTCTCTTAGATAAAGCTCTCACTCTCCTATGCATCTTTTGCACTAAATAAAACTTAAAATGTAAAAAAAAAGAGAAAAAACAGAAATGAAAATAGATACATGGAGACTACAGATATTGATATTACAAAAGATAGACTATAAAAGTGTTATACTGATTTTGTTCAAGAAGGTAACTGCCAAGATTGCAAGAATTTACAAGAAAATGAAAAAAAAAAAACAGGATAGATACATAAAGAACTAAATTAAAACTTGGATTTGAAAAACAATATAACAAATTAAAAACTGGGTGAATGGGCTTCACAATAAGCTATAAACAGCTGAATATAATCTTAGTGAGCTGTAGAAAAAAAATCAGAAGTTATCCAAAATTAATTCCAAAGGGACATTGTGATAGAAAATAAAAAGAAGAGTCTGGCACTGTGGTGCAGTGAGCGAGGCCTTTGCCTCTGCTGCCAGCATCCCATATGGGCAATGGTTCCTTTCCCAGCTGCTCCTCTTCCAACCCAGCTCTCTGCTATGGCCTGGGAAAGCAGTAGAAGATGGCCCAAGTGCTTGGGCCCCTGCATCTACGAGGGAGACCCAGAAGAAGCTCCTAGTTCCTAGCTTCGGATCAGCCCAACTCCAGCCATTTTGGCAGTTTAGAGAGTGAACCAACAGATGGAAGACTCTCTCTCTCTCTCTCTCTCTCTCTCCTCCTCCTCCTCTCTGTAACTCTGTCTCCCAAATAAATAAATAAAATATTTTTAAAAAGAAAGAAAATAAAGAAGAGAAGATAAAATATAAAAGGTACAGTATTATACATATATGACATTCTGGAGGAGAAAAGAGAAATTATACATGATCAATACTAAAATAAACTATAGCCGAGAATTTATTGTCCAAAACATCACTTCAAAATTGAACAAACCTAATTAATCCCAAGAAGAAAAATTGAAGCAAATTCACAGCTGGGCTCATCATAGAGAAACAATAGAAACCAAAAATAAATATATTTAAATATATTTTTTAATTTTCCAGAATAAAAAGTTATTTACCTTCAGAGAAATGGCAGTTAAGAAGACTCCTGATTTCTCAATAGATTTAATGGAATCCCAAAGGCAAGGGAATGTTGTCTTCAATATTCTTTTAGGAAATAACTGCCAACCTAAAATTATATGGAGATTAAAAAAAACTTTTAAGAATAAAGACAGAGAAAAACTGAAAAAGTTTGCTGCAAGAAAACTGTACTAAAAGAATTCCAAAATATTTAAGAATAAGAGTTAAAATAATTCCAAATGAATAAATGTCATAATGTCATAAATGTGGGAAGAAATGAAATTAAGAACTACATAATGGGTGACTATGTAGGGAAATGTATATTAATAATTGTTATATAAAACAAATGATATCTTGTGTGGAGATATGTATGTATGAAGAGAAGAGAAAAGGAAAGAGGAATAATAAACAGGGAAGGATTAAAATATAGTGCATAATTAGCAGATTAGTCAGTAACAGAGAGAAAAATAAAGTGTTATAAACTCCCTCCATTGCCCTGGAAAAAGAAAAAAATTCAATTATTACTTTATTTTAATAATTTAAATATACATGTAATAACTTTTAGAACAGCTGAATAAAATGTGAGAAACTAAAGGGAGAAGGATGGTAATTATTAAAATTCCTTAAGAAATGAAAAACAGAGCTGGCATTGTGGCATAGCAGGTTAAGCATTTACCTGTGAGGCCAGCATTCCATATTGGAGTGCAGGTTGGAGTCCCGATAGCTTCACTCCCATCCAGCTCCCCAGTAATGTGCCTGGGAAAGCAGCAGAAGATGGTACAAGCACTTGGGCCCCTGTCACCAATGTAGGAGACCCAGATGAAGCGCCAGACTCCAAGTTTGGCATGGCCTAGCCCTAGCCATTGTGGCCATTTGGGGAGTGAATCAGAGGGTGAAAGAGCTCTTTTCTCTGTTTTCCCTTTCTGCAACTCTGCCTTTCAAACAAATAAAATAAATCTTTTTTTTTATAAAAGAAACTGACCAATTGTACCCAAAACACTATAAACAAACAACAAAAATGAAAAACAAGACATGAAAGGAAAGAAATGGAATAATAAAAGACATGAGACATTAAATTCACAATATAATATGATAGATTTAAAACACAAATTTTAATTACATTAAATGTAAGTGGACTAAGTGGTAACCATTTAAGAAAAAAGGATTGCTAGACTAAAAAAAAAAAAACAAGCTCAATTGAAGGATTGAAAATACAGATAAAAAATGTAAGGATACAGAAAGTTTAAAATAAAAGAGTGGAAAAAAAGAAGATGTCGCTATAGAAATATCATCAAATATAAACTGTAGGGCAAAAAGATTATTAGAAATGCAAATAGCAGTATATAATGATAAAACATTTATTTCATCAGGATAAAATGCAAGTTCTACCTGAGTATGTACCTTGAATTAAACATAAAGTAAAACTTGATAAGCCTAAAGGATCATCAGGCAAGTCCATAATTATGGTAGAAGATTTTTAACACATTGCTTTGTCTAATTGAAGATTAGGCAGGGGCCAGCGCCATGGCGCAGTAGGTTAATCCTCCACCTGCGGCGCCCGCATCCCATGTGGGCGCCGGTTCTAGTCCCGGCTGCTCCTCTTCCAGTCCAGCTCTCTGCTATGGCCTGAGAAAAGAGTAAAAGATGGTCCATGGGCACCTGCACCCGCATGGGAGACCAGGAGGAAGCACCTGGCTCCTGGCTTCGAATCAGCACAGCTCCAGCTGTTGCAGCCATCTGGGGAGTGAACCAGTGGATGGAAGACCTCTCTCTCTGTCTCTTCCTCTCACTGTCTGTAACTCTGCCTCTCAAATAAATAAATAAAATCTTAAAAAAAAAGATTAGGCAGACAAAAATTCATTAAAGATATAAATTTGAGTATCATAACTAACAAATGTTACTAAATCCAGATATATTTATAACTGTGCACTCAAAACTGTATAAAACACATTATTTTCAATAATATATGGAATATTTGAAAACAAAGACCATATATGTGGGCCCAAGGCTAATATCAATACAACTCAACTAATCAAAATAATAATGAATAAATTCATATTTCACAATTAAGTATTCTTGAAACCAATAACAAAAAATGAAAAAAAATCTTCCTATGTTTTGAAATTTAGAATATACCTCTAAATAACTTTTTAGATAAAATCAACATAATATAAACAAGAAAAAGTTTTAAATAAATAATAATGAATGCAATAAATACAAGAATTTTGGGAAAGGAGCTAATTCAGAACATGAAAGAAAATGAGTGACCTTTAAATTTTATATTACAAAGCAAGAAAACATGAGAATTAATTAATAATAGCTTTTAAGAAATTAAGATATTTATATCAAAGTAAACCTGACTAGCATAGAATGAAATATAAGATAAAAGCAGAATCTAATACAGAAAGCAAACCTACAATAGAGAAGACCAGTCAAGCTAAAAGTTAGGTTGTTGAAAGGTGAATAATGACACCTCTATGACAAATGAGCAACAAAACAGAAAATAAGCACAATAAACAGCATCAGGAACAAATGGGAGATAAAACCACAAATTCTGATGTCATTATAAAGATATTAAGACACTGTTAACTTAAATGTATGACATACCAATCTGAAAATTTACTTTCAATTAACATAATCCTAGAAATACACAAGTTACCAATACTGCCTAAATAAGTATAAAGAACGATTGTTCTATACCTAATAGGAAATTAAATTCACAAGCAAAATCTCTCCACTAAGAAAATTCACATCCAAATGACTCAACGGATAAGTTTCAGTGAACATGCAAAAGGATAGAATCTTCAATCTTAGGAAAACTTTCCCAATAAATAGAGAAAGTAGAAATGTTTTCAATCTATTTTATGAGACTAGTATATTCTTAATGTCAAAATTCCACAAAAAGGATTATGATATCACAAAAATGGTAGAGTAAAAAGTCCCAGTCCTTGGATAAAGAAATTATGGGATATGTACTCTATAGAATACCATACAGCAGTAAAAAAACAATGAAATCCGGTCATTTGCAACAAAATGGAGGAATCTGGAAAACATTATGCTGAGTGAAATAAGCAGTCCCAAAGGGACAAATATCTTATGTTCTCCCTGATCGTTGACAACTAACCGAGCACCAAGTAGGAAACCTGTTAAAGTGAAATGGACATTATAAAAAACAGTGACTTGATTAGCCCTTGTCCTGACTGTTGATGAACATCTTAATACGTTATCCCTCTTAGTATTTTTTTCCTGTTCTACTTAATACTATTGGTTTAATTCTGTGATTAATATACAGTTATTCTTAAGTGTTGAAACTTAACTGAAAAGTGATCCCTGTTAAATATAAGAGTGGGAATAAGAGAGGAAAGAGATGTACAATTTGGGACATGCTCAAGCTGACTTGCCCCAAACGGTAGAGTTAGAAACATACCAGGGGATTCCAATTCAATCCCATCAAGGTAGCGTGTACCAATGCCATCCACTAGTCCATTTGATCAATTTCTGTTCACAATTGATCATAATGATAAGATTAAGAGTCAAAGAGATCAGACAAACAAGACTAGTGTCTGCAAATACTAACCGATAGAACAAAAAAAGGGGAGAGAATGATCCAACATGGGAAGCGGGGTACACAGCAGACTCATAGAATGGCGGATGTCCTAAACAGCACTCTGGCCCCAGAATCAGCCCTTAAGGCATGAGGATCCGGCTGAAAAGCCCATGAGAGTATTACAGGCATGGAAAGCCAAGACACTCTGGGGGGAAAAAAAATGACCTAAATGAAAGATCTCCGCAAGTGAGATCCCAGTGGAAAGAACAGGTCATCAAAGAAGGAGGTACCTTTCTCTGAAGGGAGGAGAGAATTTCCACTCTGACTATGACCTTGTCTAAATATGATCAGAGTCGGTGAACTCAAAAGGCTTCCATAGCCTTGGCAACTCATGACAAGAGCCTAGGGTGATAACTGAGGCCATAAACAAGAGTGTCAATTTGTTAAGTCAACAACAGGAATCACTGTGCACTTACTCCTCATGTAGGATCTCTGTCCTTAATGTGCTGTACATTGTGATTTAATGTTATAACTAGTACTCACACAGTATTTTTCCCTTTGTGTTTCTATGTGGGTGCAAACTTTTGAAATCTTTACTTAATATATACTAAACTGATCTTCTGTATATAAAGAGAATTAAAAATGAATCTTGATGTGAATGGAAGGGGAGAGGGAGCGGGAAAGGGGAGGGTTGCGGGTGGGAGGGAAGTTATGGGGGAGGGAAGCCATTGTAATCCATAAGCTGTACTTTGGAAATTTATATTCATTAAATAAAAGTTTAAAAAAATCCCAGTCCTCATTTGTCCCACAGAAACACCCACTTTAATGATCATTTATCAATTAAAATATCTTTATGAGATTTAATAAAGCCCAGTTAAGATGCTGCTGTATTCCAGGTAAGCACAAAGCCAAGAACAGTCACACTGAAAGAAATAAAAAGAGCAATAAAATTTGCCCACGTAGCTCATCCCTCAAGTCAGCACAGCTCAATGTTGTCAAAGAATGTTCCAGAGCATGACTTCTTTTGAGGGATGGGGAGGCAGTAAAACATCTGTCCAAGGTTCTGGCTTTTTGGAGTTCTGCTCAAAGCAATGGTTCTATTTCACGTAACTCCAAGTTCTGAGAGACCTGGCATAGTTTGGATACCTGGGGTCACTGAAAATAAGAGCAGGAGGGGCAACTTACTTTAGCTACCATGACTTGGTAAAATCAAGAGAAGGTATGCAACTTGAGGCCTTTCTCATAGGAGAGAGGGAGAAAAGTATAATGTCCTAGATTTTTGAAGAGCTGCCTGAGAGACTAACTCCTGTCTTTCCTGACATGAGACACAGATGAGGAATTGAATGCCTGGTAGCTGCTGAGAACAACAGAGAATGGCATGCAATACTGTTGAAGAGCAAGAAAACTTGGAGTGACACAAACAGGCACCAGAGGGAGCAAGATATTAGAAGCTGCTGAAAAAGAAATTGGCAATCCCAATCAATTAAGAAATTACATGCACAAACCTAGAGAAGTTACATCCCCCCAAAAATAGGTTTTACTCTTGCCACAACCTCCAGCTG